TCCTTGTATCGATTGTCTAGATCGGGGACAAATCCTGGATTAATTTGGGTTAAGTATTTGTTCCAATATTATGGAAGTAAGTTTTATTTTTTTTTCCTTAATAAAGAAGTAAACAAAAAAAAAAAAGAAAACAGACGGTACACTCCACCCCATCTGTTGCTATCGTCGCAGTCTTCACAGTCGTTGCTTCCTACAGCAGGAAGTACAACACCAGCTGTGCAACAAGAAGGTGTGCCAGTGCGAGCAGGCAGATCTTGCTGCTCCCGTCGCCCGGAGAGGGCTTCTCCGTATCGGCGATTATCACGGTGTCCATGGGGTAGAGCGATACAACGGCCTCGACGGTTTCAGCAATGTTAGCTGAGAACAACGACAAATCAGTCAACTTTTTGTGGTCCACGTAGACGCGTCCCGAGAGCGACTCCAGACCGCCGTCCTTGAAGACCTGCACTGCCGTGTCATCAAGGAAAACTCGCAGCTGGACCTTGTTCCCGTTCCACAGCGGTGCACGGCCAACCCAGATTTCCTTCGAGCCGGTCGTCCCAGAGTGGGTACGGTCCAGCAAAATCACAGGCTCGCTGATGCGTCCCGTGACGGCCGACTCATTGGCAGCGCGGGCCTCGCCAAACGTGCTCATAACAGAGCAGCGGGACGTGTTCTTATTAGGGATCTTCACAGCCGTCCACGCCACGCAACGACGCTCTGTCTCACACTTCTTCTTGCACATGTCACTCTCATTGACTTCCACAGAGGTGTAGTGCCGTCCAGTCTGGTCGTGCATCTTGCTATCAAGTGTGCCAGGCATCGCCACCGCAATACGTGTGTAGGAGCTGTGATCAGCGGACGACAGCAGGTCCACACCAAACGAGGGTTCCTTTCCAGCCTCATATGTTCCAGACTTGAACGCCCCTTCAGGGAGAGTGAAGTCAACAACAAGCTCGTAGTACCGCCCGGCATCCCCCACAAGCGCGGTACGGTCGTTCGCACCAATTTTAACGGCTTTGTTTTTCAGAAGCGGCTTCAGACGCAGCTGTTCAAGTTGAGGCATCGGAAAGCTCTTCATCTTCTTCGCCTTCTCGTCGTACTCAACATAGCGCGGAAGGTCCATCATTCCAGACCACCCACGAGCCCTCATTGCCTCTTCTGTGTCTTCCTCCACGAGCCAGCCCCACAACACTGCGCGCTTCAGCACAGGGTCAAAGTTGTGCTTCGCTGCGTAGAAGCGACCGTAGTCCATGTACGTCGGGGTACGTTCGGAGTCCTCGAGGTAGATTGTCTTATTTTCATTGTTCTTCGCACCATAGTTACCATACACCCACATATCCTGTTGGCTCACCATGGTCGATACCTTCAAAACGTAATCCGAGCCAACCTTAAAGATATCCGGGCACTCCATCATGTGGTATGAGTCAAATTCTTCGTGCCAAATCGAGTGCGAGTACTTGAAACCTGAACGCCACGTGGGGTCGCCAGTGGAGAATACCACAATGTGGCCACGGTCGTCCTTCCTTGTGCGAACAGCAAGCGCGAACAGCCACTCAGAGCTGTTATCAGGGTTCTCCCAGAAGTTCGTGGGGTCGCGGTAGTTGAAGTTGTCGTACAGATCGGGCATGTCATCCTCCGTTAGCACGGGATTCGCGTCCACCTTCACAAACGTGTTGAGTGAGCGTGGGCCATTCTTGGCAATGTCTTCCGGTGGTGGTAAAGCAAGGCACTGGCGCTGGATGTTCTCAACCGCAGTGCACGTGTACATCATCACGGGTGTCCCATCAGGGTTGTACGTGATCGATCCAGTATAGGCTCCCCACAGATCGTATTCCTCGTCATTCCTCATTGCAACACCTTGATCTCGCCACTTCACATAGTCCATCGAGGTGAAGTGGTACCAACTCATATTGCCCCACACCGCGCCGTACGGGTTGTACTGCATGTACAGGTGCATCTGTTTTGTGATGGGGTCACGGTAAGGCCCGTTGGGGTCGTTGATCCAATTGCTGGGCGGACGCACGTGGAAGCGTGGCTCATGCGACGCGGTTACCGCAATCGCTAGCAGCAGCAGCAGCAGCACGCACCATGTAGATGATATAATGCGCATTGCTCCTTTCAAGGAACTTATTGTCTGATTTGCCGTTCTCTCAGCCGGTCTATCGCAAAAAGAACAACAACAAAAAAAGGAAGCGCAGAGAACGTAACAGAAAACCTTATATAAGAATGAGGAAATAATAAAAAAAAAGACGTTCGCAGGAGCGGACGATGAGAAAGCATAAAAAAAAAAATAACAACAACAATAACAGGAAATATAATGACACAGTAATCCAAAAGAGATAAAAAATGCGGAGAAAATGAGAGAACTTGTCCACATACTAAGGTTGATTTCTCATCGAAAGCAAGGAGGTCCCTAGAGCCCATGAAACCTCAACATCTCGGAGTTTCTTTGGGACTGTTAACGTCACCTCATCAGAGAGTCCGAGACCCAGAGAAAGAAATGTGTATAGGTAAGTGAGATCCATGCACATAGTTCCCATATTGCGCTCGGCACCACTACGGCAAAGTGACTTTGCAATTGTTTTGTAGTAACCAACAGTAATGGTTTCTGCTGTATCAAAATGTCGCATCCGGTCATGAAAATAAGAAAAGGCATACAATAGCGGTAATGATGTGCCTGAGGATAAAAGAGGACGAATCTCATCAAACGCCTTCTGTTGCTCTTTTGTAAGCCTAAGAAAAAAGGAACGAAAAATAGCAGCGCAAGCATTGAAGTCCTGGATATTATCATTGACATTCTCCAAGGTATATGGTGCGAAATCAACTAATTCGATAACTTGCTTGTGTCCTACCGGAAAACAAGGAAAGGTTGTTCGATTTTCTTTTGGAAATCGCCGCATCACCAATTGTGTAGCCTCTTTAAGTCCCAAGCCTAGAAAGCTATAGTGGTACAACTCTACCGGGACACCATCCAAGTGCATGCGTGAGGTGTATTGCGGTCGCACAATATCACTTCGTGTAAGAGGCAAGACAATCTGCGCGGAACCGCCGCCCATGTCAATTGTCGTAATTCGCCCGGCGACGTTACCGCTGTTACCACCTGTTGTGATAGTTGTTGGCATTCGGCCGAGAAGGTATGTTACGGTGATCCATGCTGCTATACCCTCCTCATCACCGCTAATGATGGAGACGGTGTCCACTACGAAAGGGTATTGCGTTAAGTGTTCCCTCGCCTCGCGCAGCAGCAGTTCACCCTTATTAGCTTCTAGCAATCGCAAACCGGCAGTGGCCTTTAATGACACGCGCGTACAGGCGTGATAATGGGCAGGAACTGCCTGAAGTGCCGTCTGCATGAGTGGGTCCAGCAAGGTGTTCATACGCAAATTACTACTTTTGGCCAGAGTAGAAAAACCGGGACGTGTGCTGTCAAACGTCTCTCGTACGAGTTGTTGTTCATTATACTCAAAAACATGTACTCTCGTACCTGTACTTCCTGCATCCAGCACAATATCATACAACACTTCAGCCTTATTTCCGCACGAGAAACGCTCTTGATTTGTACCAAATCTCCATACAGCAGTAAGGAGAAAGAAAAGGATGGAAACCAGAATAATGAATAAAAGAAGAAGCGTACGTTTCTTTCGGCGTATGCGTAATGTGCGTCTACCACCTAATTGTCGGTACATTCATTCCAATACCTCTTAGAAAAAAAAACTCATACAAGCAAAGTGTGGTGACAAGAAAAGGAAAAAAAGAAAATACATCTCAAATGGAATTGTAAATCCCCCATACCAAATAGAAATATTTAAAGAGGTAAACATATATTCTGTGGAAGAAATACCTACAAAAAGAATACAAGGATATTTTAATTCAGAATGTACCAAGCTGCTCACAATACTCCCACTCTGGACATACACGAAATGGCAGTATTACCCCTTGCGGACGGATGTTTTCCCAAAACACCAGCAAAACCCTCTGAAAGCAAGAAGACTCTTGCAACCAAATGGTAACGAAGATGAGAAGCAAGAAAAACAAAAAAAAAGTGGATATTTACTACGAAAGCGTCGTTAACATTGAAGTAGAAATGAAAGCAGTGATAACAAAAAAAAAGGAGTGGGTATCCCTAGATAGAGCCACGTTCCAATCATGGTTTTTTTTTCTCTTTTAACGCGCGTTCCTCTCAGTAAATTCTAGCAAACATGGAAAATAAATATAGTGGAAACGAAGACACGGTGTCATCGATTGTGTTCAAGAGTGTTAAAATTGGATCAAAACAAAATCGCAACATACACCTTCTTGTCCTTTGTTTTTTTTTTTTTTTTTGTTTAATTCCCTTTCCCTGTTTCCCTATATATAAATAACTATTTTTTTTTTTTTTTGGTGGTGGTGACCATCACTCATCCACCCACCCCCTTATCACTCCCTCTCCATGTCTGCTTGAAGATAGAGAAAATATTAATAATAATAATATTAATAATAATAAGAGTTATGACGTTGGACTTCCTACCTTGATTTCAAAAAAGTTCTTAATAAAGTCCATTGCCTCTTCAGCCGTATCGGCAAAGCACATGGAATCCACTTCTTCTTTTGAAACCGTCCCGAACTCCACAAGTGCTTGCCAGTTGATAACTGTTGTCCAGAACTTGCGACAAAGGAGAACAATAGGAAGCTCAGGAATTTTCTTTGTCTGGCGCAGTGTGAGTAACTCAAACATTTCGTCCAGTGTTCCAAATCCACCAGGCGCAACAATAATGGCACGACAAGAATACATCATCCAAAATTTACGAGTGAAGAAGTAGTGAAACTCAAAGGCAAGATCATTAGTAACGTACGGATTGAGCCCCTTCTCAAAGGGGAGTGAAATCCCCATTCCCATCGTATTGGCACCTATCACAGAAGCGGCACCTTTGTTTGCTGCCTCCATGAACCCGGGCCCACCGCCAGTAGTGATAACAAAATCCTTCAGTTCCTCCATTAACTCTGTAGATAAAGTCTTGTTAAGATTACTGGGGGCTTGGCGGAAGTAATCCGGGATATGTGTGAAGGATTCATTGATCAATTTCTTCTCCTGAATGGCGAACATCGCGACTTTGCGTGAGATGTCATACACTGTATCCATCCACTCACACATCCACTGTGTGCTGCGCAGTCGCCGCAGTTCATCTTCACATTTTTTCTTCGCCTCCGGTGTTGTGGCCTCTGCGAGTCGCTTCTCATGTCGCCGCAGCGCACACGCGTGTTCCTCCACCGTCATCGCCCGCGCACTCCCAAAGACGAGAACCGTCGAGCGAATGTGATGTTGCCGCAGCCGCACCGCAGGCTCCTCGAACTCGCACAGAATGCGAACAAGACGACCCTGCGGGCTTTGCAGAAACTGCGTGTTGTTGTACGACTTCACGGTAGGTGTGAAGTTGTCACCAAAGAGGTCGTCGGTCTTCTGCACATACGGCGAGATCGTAGTGTCCTTCGCATCTTCCACGGACATTTATAAATTGCACACAAACAACCAAATAAAAATAAATAAAAAAACCACTAATCAACGTGTCTTGGCCATTATAAGATGCACGTGTCGAGGGAATAAAAGAGAAATCAAACCGTAAAAAGGCAAGACACATAAAAAGAAAAAGAAAGAAAGAAAGAAGAAAGATTTTAAAAAAGAAAGAGGCGCAAATTACACACATATATATAGTTCAAGAAGAAACAGTAGAATAATTTTCAAAAATAAAAACACATGTGCATACGCATACAGTCCGAATAAGGTAGAGACACACAAAGACGCACATATATCCACATCACATCACACGATCAGTGTCAATTGATGCGTCTATTTTCTGCACCATATGTTTTTCGACACCTTTGCATTATATATATATATATATATATATATATATATATGAAGAGAGATTTGTGTGTTCTTAACCCTCTTTTTATGGCTTCTAGCTTTATCTACACCATTGATGTTTCAATATGAAGGTGCAGAGGAGGGGAAAAGGGAAGGGATTATAAGTACGCAAAAGCAAGAACAGAGGAAATAACTAAGGGAACAAAACGCTAGAGAAAGAAGCATAAATTAAGTAAATGAAACAGAATCAAAACACCTAAAGGACTAATACAAAAAAAAAAAGAAAGAAACGACATTATATATATATATATATATAATAGAGGGAAAGAGAAACCACACACCATTGTTACTCTTCTCCCTGTTGATATTCACTATCCAGTCCATTCTTAATTTCCCATCAATACCCACTACTTTTTTTTTTTTCCTTCCCTCTGCCTTCAGTCACTCTGCTGAAGAAAAAAAAAAGAATGCACTCGTTTAGGAATACACATACGCTTTATCCCAAGCAGTACACCCATCTCTACCAATTCACGTACCCAAATCATCCCCCTATCCAAATACCTAAGGACCCCTATATAACTCGAGTATCTTTTTCATTTGCCCACACTTCTTCAAAATCAGAATTGAACCCAAAGAAAAACAAAAAACACAGTTTTTCTCAATACCTCTTCTCGCCATTCTCCAATAAAGCTAAGAAATGGCAAATTCAACGACAACGTCTTTCCTTCTAAGGTTATTTTTTTCATGTTTTCTTTCCTTTTTTTTTCCTTTTTCGATCTCTCTCAATATGATCACCTGTATATATATATATATATATATATATATATATATATATATATATATATATATATATTCATGTGCCTCCTCCACTTTGATTTGCTTTCCCTCTTCATTTTTGCTGTTTTAGCTGACTTGAAATACACGTTATGGTGAGAGTTCCTCAGTACTTGAACACTTGATCTTCAGTATAACCCAAATTCTTTAAAAGTCCAAGTAGTGGACCCTGCTCAGGGGCTTTGCCTTCCGCAAAGACTTTATCGCCTGCTAACTCCGCTAACATTGCAGGTGGACCTGCTACAAGAATCTTTGTACGTTTTTGACCTGGTTTCGGCATATAAGTTCGGATCATTGCCTCATTGATGGCCCCAATCCCGCCCAACCATCGGTGTGGAACTTCCAGTAGAGTTAGATAGAGATTAAAGTTGTTGTAGGTCTTCTGAAGGGTTGTCAGTTCATTCGCCAGTAAAATATCACGACGTTGGTTATTCGCGTAGACCAGAGAAACATGCGTCTTGTCCTTTGGGTTTGCCAAGATCTCCTGCAAGAGTTGGTACATGGGCGCTATTCCTGTGCTGCCGGCGAGCATACCCACACTGTCCCACATGTTTGTTTTATACACAAACTTTTCAAATGGGCCCTTCACCAACAGCTCCTCACCGGGCTGCATTTGAAAGAGGTGTGTGCTCATCTTATCCTTTGGCCGTTTATTGACGATCACTTCAAAGTGTCCCTTCGTGTTATTCGCCGTGATGGGTGTGAAGGGGTGCAACACATCCTTTCCATCCGCATCCGTTACCTTCGCGACGATGCAGGAGGCTACAGGCATTGAAAACGGTGTTTCTGCGCTCTCAAGCCCAAAGTACAGCCGCCGCGTATCGTGAGACTCATACCGCGATGAAAGGAGTTTAAACGGGCGAAATTCATCAGGCGTAAATGTTGACTTTCGTGCGGCACACTCCGCCACAAGAGGCTGCAATTGCCACGCAGAAGAGACGGCGCACACAAAACCCCCGCCAAAAAGACCGGAGGCGAAGCCAGAAAGAAATCGCACCATCTAAGGAAATTCAGCAAAACACAAAGAGAGAGATCCTATCGAATTTGTTATATATATATATATGCCGGCATAAGGAGGGGGTGGAAAGTGAAGAGAAAAAAGAGAAGAAGGGGGGAAAAAAATGAAATGAGTTTCTTGAACAGGACTCAAAAAACGAAAATAGAATCACTATAAATGATGAACACAATTTTTACGATTAATTGAGAAAGTTCAAACTTCTTGAAGATGCACACCTTTACAAAATCCAGAATTATCTCTCCATTCCACTCTTTCTTTGCATCAACCACATCAATTAGTATATATATATATATATATATATCACTTTGATTTCTACCACCCTCCTCTCCTCTTTTCTTGTATTGGCAATTGGCGTTCCATTTTACTTTTTTTTTCTTTTTGAAGCATTCAGTCAAATAAAACTCTGTTGCCATTCTTTTCTTCTTTCTTTTTGTTCAATATTTCATTTCATTTTCTCTTACCGTGTACCGAATAACGCACAAAAGGAACACTCCTCAAATCATATCTTTTTTTTTTTCTTCGACACTGCGAGTCATTAACGAAGAAAACTACAACAGTAAAGGTAATTAATAATAGGAATAACAAGTAACAACAAACAGCAAGAAGGAGCAATGGTGTTAGTGCTAATGTGTCAGACTGCACCTGCACAAGCCACAAACACAGGAGAATGCTGTCTATCTGTACTTTATATATATATATTTTTTTTAGTTCGTTTCGGGTGCGTCAAAGAGCGAATTGAATGAGTGGAATAAGAGATAAAAGACGGGAAAAGAAAGAAACAAAAAAAAGGGTCATCGACAAATAAGACAAAAAAAAACAGGCAAACGTAAATTATATATATATATATATATATATATATATATAAATATAAATATAAGAGAACAACAAACAAGTAAAACACAACGGAATTGGTTTTAGTCGTGGAAAAAAAAAGAAGAAAAAAAAAAAACACAGAACCCAGCAACACCAACAAACAACAACGGCAAACAACATTAAAAAACATGGTGACATGAAAATCAATGTAACCCCCTTCTTCATTATTCTTCCCTTAAAAATCAAAATAAAAAAAAAAAGCGGTACACAAAGAAAAAAAAAAGGCCCAAAACGCTTACAACCAATAATAATAATAATAATAATAATAATAATAATAATAATAAAAAGGGTCACAAAGAAGAAAGATGGGAACAAAAGGAGAAAAAAAAAAAGACGTTCACAAGCCAAAGATGGGCCTACAGTAGTTAAGAATGTTGTTATTTGCTTCTGTCACAGCTTTAGCGAGCAGACATTTTAAAAAAAGAAAAAAAAAAGCACTTCGTTGTGAGAGGGATGGAAATACATGTTGGAATAAGGAACAAAAAACAAAGGTATTAAAACAGAAGTATTGAAGAAACCAAAAATAAAAAGGATCTACCATTTAATCATTATATTCACGTTTCCCCTCTCCTTCCCTGATCTTTCATACCGGTATTGATTTCTGCGATATGCGTTCATGTTTTCCCTCTCACTCGTCAAATATTTTTTTTTTCCTTTCTTTTTTTTTTTTATTGAGTGCGTGTAGTATTAACTTCGTGCTTGGTTGATATTTTCTAATATTTCTCGTTCCTGTACCGTTTATGTGTTATTGTGTGACTGTGTTCGTTGATACATCTCATTGCGTAAGTATTTAATAGAACCAAAAAAAAACAAAAAAAAAAAAAAAAAGAAGGGTGGAAAGAAGATAATGATTTGCAGAGTTACATTTTAAGTTTCTTTTCTTTTTTAACAATATTTTTCTTACTCTTTGCATATATACATATATATATATATATGTGTGTATGTATGTATGTGCATGTCCGTGACTACAAAGCCAGATGCATACATTCACTTTTATTTCTCTTAAACTTCGTTATATCTTCTCAGAAGAGGGAATATTTCTCTTGTCCTCTACTTTTTTCTCTGGTGTTCGCTTTTTCTACTTTCTTTCTTTCTTTTCTTCTTACTTAATTATTTTACACTTATTTCTTCTGGACATTTTTTTTTATTTTTTATTTTTCGTTTTTCTTTTACTCTTTTTCTTCTTATCCACTGTTTCTCGGTGAGTGATTAAGGAGAGAACAGAATGGAGAGTTCTTTTTTTTTTTAAGTGTGGAATGCTTGCAGCATAATAATCATGTATATGCAGTAAACTTTTCATTATATATATATATTTTTTTTTTCTTGAAAAAAGAATGTGTGTGTGTGTGTGTTTTGTAGGCACACGCATTAGCGATGGAAAAATACGGCTTAAGCCTTACAAAGCTCCCGCAGTGTGTGTTCCCACGCCACAGCAGCGACGTGATCGTGATAGGCTGTGTATACCGTGAAGTTGTCTGCAGCCTCGTTTTCCAGTGTGGTGAGTAATCGCAGCACCGCCGCGCGGTTCAACACATCCGCCGCACACCAGCGATCAAAGACCTGTCGCATCGCCCGCAGTCGCCAAGTGTCGTCTGTTTGAATGTTATTGTTGTTATTATTATTGCTGTTGTTGTGAGTAGTGAACTGTGTGTAGTGCATAACAAGCTCCATCACGACAGCGCCCTGGTGAAGAAGACCCGGCCGTCGGTGGAGAACGGCGCCAATGATGTAATCCACATCCGCAGCAGTAGCCAACATGCGGCCATTTTTACCGCAGACACCAGAGCAGGCGAGAACGGCGCCGACCACACGCATGACCGCAATCAACTCACACACCGTAGAGTTGTTTCCCAGTGGCAAGAGTGCAAGCTGAACCGCCTCATCACGCCAGCGTAAGGCGTTGTTATTGCTACCACTACTACTACTACTAATCGTACTACTACTGCTACCGCATGTGGTACCTGTAGAATTCGTATTAGTAGTATTAGTATTAGTAGTAGAAGTAGTATTACCACTTTGTGCTGCGGCGTCTCGCATCTTTCGAAACAGCACAAACTCCGGATCATCAGAGATGCGTTGAAGTGCGAGACACTGCAAGAGTGGATCGTAGTGTCCTGTGCTGGTGAAAGAGTCACCAAGTGGACTACTACGAAGGGATGGTGAAGACAACATCTGTGGTCGTGAAGAAGGTGTACCTGGTGTGGTATTATTGGTCACAGAACTCACACTGAAGAGATAAGGCAATATCCTAAACCGATTTTGTACAGCAATGCGCAATATCTGTCGCTCATCCTCTGGGTCCTGCAGATGATTGAGTACCTGCACACTGACCGGATAACAGCTCTTCACAACTGTTACCATTTGGTCTGTTCCTCCACTCACAGCAAGCTCATGCAGTAGTACATTAAAGATACCACAGTGCATCATATTACGCACAACCTCCGCATGTGGTAGAGAGTCACTGCAGGGCAAATGACATTGCAAAATCATCTGTGCAACGTTATCAAACATTCGTGGACAATCGTCGTACTCGCCCTTCTCCAAATCAAAGCGAATCCATTCCAATACTGTAGAGAAAACGGTACGGGCATCATAAGCACCACTGCATGTGCGCAGCAAAGAAGAAAGCAGTAATGCCACTTTACTGCGATCCTCAAAAAATGATGTGTTTGTGGCCGCAAGACGCAACCACCATGTGAGACACACCACCATGTTCTTCGGTCCCATTTCTCGCAACATTGTGGCGGCCGCCTCTTCCTCACCGCTACGAAAGAGTCCCATTAGTTTTTTGGTAATTTCTTTAATATTAACAGTAGTATCTATCACAGGTGTTTTCCCACCATTAATCCACGGTGATCCAAGTCCCTCACTGGTTGTACGTGAGTTCCCCATTTCGCTGCCATTTCGTACCACTGATGGAGAAGGTGGAATAATACAATCAGATACAGTACGAGTAGGAGTCATTGGACTGTTTAGCTGTAAAGAATTGATGCTGATATTCAACTGGTTTTCACTGCCAGTATTGGGGCGTGAGATGCAAAGATTCTTGCATGAAAATTGCTTTCCAGGCCATCGTCGCTCTGCCAAGGTCAAAGGAGATCCTGTTGAGTCGCTGGAATTGATATAATTCTTACCATTATTATTAATATTAATATTATTATTATTATTATTATTATTATTATTATTATTATTATACGTGGTATTACCCCCACTAATGGTATTGACGACGTTAAGGCCTCCATTCGTCTTACTCATGTCATTTCCATTGCTATTAATGCTATTGTTACGTGTTTGATTTTTGCCGCCAATAGCCTCAGAGTTTCCGTTGGAGGAGCCCTGGAACGACGTTGTTTCGCGAGTCTGTGTATTAGAATTTACTGGCTTTTCCACATCGGGTGACATAAGGGACGAGGGTGAAAGTGGTGAGGCGGTAATACGAGTCTTCTGTGTGGAGGAACCTGCGGTAGCGGTAGCGGCAGCGGCAGCAACAGCAGCAACAGCAGGTGCAGCTGTGCTCACCTTTGGTTCCCGCACGTACTGCTGCACAAGTTCAGGGGCTATCCAGCCATTTTTCTTGTTGAGATCATCCAAGTCCATCATAAGAAATCCCACACGTGGTTTAGGGTGCGAACGCTCAATAGTTTTCGCAATACCCAGAGCCTGAGTGAGAAGTCTTGGTAACATCTCTTTCAACAATGCCCCAGTGTGCCGTATAAGTGTAACGAATACCTCAAACACGTACTCCTCTTTTGCCGTAGGCTTATCAGGGTTATAATCACTGACGAGAATGCGCACAATGTCTGCAATAACCCGATCTGTGACAAGACCCATCTTAAACAATTCGGCCACAAAACGGATGTTGCCCACAAGTCGATGTTTTAGACGATCACGTTTCAGTTCCACTTCCTCTGCTCTCAGTGGAACGCCTGTGGTACGGTCCACCAACTCATCTGCGGCGAGTTGCAGCGGTTGCCGGAATTGCGCCTCACATGAGGCAATCAACATACGGCGGAAACGCTGCGAGAAGGCCCGATCGCGTGTTTCGTTTTCATTAAGACTGCTGCTGCTGCTGCTGGTAGTGATGGTATTGTTGTTACCGGGACTCATAGGTGGCATAGCACAGATATCGTGTACAAGGCGTGCGTAGAGTCCGCTGTAGGATGGTTCCTGCACTGCCTTTTCAAATACCACTTTACAAATCTCCATCAATTCCATATCATCCACCTGGCGCAGTGGCAACAAGAGCATTTCTTCGTGAAGTGCATCGTACTTTACAGGAGTAATACGGCTGAGAATAGACATCATTTTATGTCGAGTAAGACGTACAGGTTTCACACGTGACTTCACTCTTAGGGAACTACCAAGTGCACCACGCGTGATACCGTCTTCTGTTTCAGCGGCTTCATGGAGTGATAGCTGTAAATGGGGCGGAACCTTTAATGATGGGATATGCAGATATTGTTTTAGTGCCCAGCGTAATACTCCATAAGGGGTGTGCGCCGCATCACGACGAACAGACAAAAACATTTCCAAAGGGTACACCCGTTCCTCACTTGCTACCTGTGTAAAAGTGTGGAAGCAGGTACTGACAGGCGTACTCAATGGCGATATACTGCTACAACTGCTCACAGGTGGTAGTTGTACCTCATCTAGCGCTGGCTTCAGAATTGGCGACTGTCCAAGTGCTGGTGGTGGCACCAGGCGGTGATTCTTCACAGGTGCTTCACGCACTGTATGGTTGTTATTATTAAGGTTGGTGCTGTTGTTGTTGTTGATGATGCCCCCGCCGGGGTACCACGGCCGTGCCATGGCAGTCAGTGCAGCTTTGGGTGGCGGCAGAGACTTCACTGGCCGTTCTGGTGGACGGAACACCGACGGCATCCACGCCTCGTTCGTTGCAAGAGTGAGAGGGCCAGGTGTGGCAGTGAGCATTCTTGACTGTATTTGTGTATATTTTTTTTTTCGGTATATTTCTTCGGTGTAATATGTATCTCAGTGTTTGAATACAGAAATAAATATATATATATATATATATCTGTATAGGTATTATAGGTATGAGTAAAGTATGAGCTAGGAACCGAGCAGAGAAAAAAAAAAAAAAAAACGGCAGCTACACTGAATGAATGAATGAACAAATGAATGAATGACGAAAAAAAAAAAGAAAGAAAAGAAAGACGAAAAAGAAAATAAAATAATAATGATTAAACAAATATATATATAGGAAAGCCAAAAAGAAAAAAAAAAAACAATGGCAAGAACAAAAAGATAAAAACATGAAAAGGAGGAAATGAAGTGAGGGAAACAGATAATGGAAGCAATGCCTGTTTTTTTTTTTTTTCTTTTTTCTCCCTTCCCCTCTCGCAACCACTCATTATTATGATACATGCAGAGTAGAGGATGGGGAAGAAGAACTACCATCGTTCGCTGGTCCCACAAGAGACTCAATTCGCTCTCGCGCTGCCCGTAATTTTTCCTGTAGATATGAAATGGTTCCATCACCCACAGACGGTGGCATCTTTTCTCCCCGGGCGACGGCCAGTGCATTCTCGCGACGTGCCTCTTCTACGAGAGCGTCAATTTCACTCGCACGGGGCGGCGGTGGCACATCATGCGACCACGATGGCCGCGGCACTCGAGCGATTTTCTCCGCGCCTTCGGCCGGCCGCAGCGATTCGAGTTGCTGCACGTAATGCAACTGTGCCAGTCGTGTGTTGATGGACCGCATGCGTGCCTCACGTAAACGTCGCTCACGCACCTCACGCATATAAGCGTCACCAAGTTCCTTTGCCGTTGGCTGTTGTTGTTGTTGTTGTTGTTGTTCTCGTGCGTTGCTGTGGTGAATTTCGTTGCTGGCCACAGTCGCATCTTCAGCAATTTCCTTCTTACCATCTTCTCCTTTATAATTATTCTCTTCATTCACTTCTTCCCCACCGTAGCCATAGATGTCATCATTATCATTATCATCATCATCATTTCCAAGTGGACCACGTATCTCTTGGAACCAACGAATACGCTCTTCCACTTCTGCAAGACGATCCGCTAAACCCATGTACGGCGATGGCTGCGTACTAAAGTCCGTCTGCATCAACTCTTCCACTCGGCGGTCCTGTTCAGCAGTGAGACCCACGCCACGCACCGGCACTAGTGGTGCTTTAGCCGTCGACAGCGGAGCTTTCCGTCCCGCCATCGTATTCTTTGATGTTTTTCCTGTTTTTTTCTTCTGTTTCTTTCCCTGTTTACCATCCTCTTGTGGTTGTTGTGATAATGATGATAATGGTGGTGATGATAATAATACAGCTTTAGCCATCGCCGTAGGGGACGGGCTGACGTGTGTTGGACGTCCGAGGCGACGACGGCCTAGTGGAGTATCACGTTCCATCGTTCTTTTGGTGTGTGAAACCATAGACACTTCAACAGCACCCTTTTCTTCTTTTTTTGGTTTCTCAGATTCTTCTTCTTGTTCCTTTTCTTTCCCTTTCTCCATCATCACTGCATTTGGAGGCTTAACACTAGATTCCACAGGATGCTCATCTACAATAGTTTCTTCCTTTTGACCCTCCTTCTTCTTCTTCTCCTCCTCCTCCTCAACGTCGTATTCCTCCATCATCACTTTATCGTCATGATCATAAATTTCAGCAGCATCACTCTCTGCGGTATCATCTAATACATCTTCAGGCGCTACTGGAACAAGGAGTTTCCCCTCATTATCCACACAAATTTGGTACTGTTGTCCTTCATCATCAAAAGCCGTTATGAACGTCTCAATCCTATTCGCAAGGTTTTGAATTTCCTGTTCAACATCAGCATTATCTGTAACATTTGTATCAATAGTTTCTGTTACTGGGGCACTCTCACCCTGTCGTTGGAGGTACTTCACAAACATGGCAGAGTTTGTCTCCAAGAACCGTAGCAACTCACCGTCTCGAATACGTTTTACATCTTCCTTTGTTAGTGCAACATGTCGACCACCATTAACGAGTGGTACACTCTTATGTAGTATCTGCTCTGCCCGAGCAATAGATGATATAGAGAGCGATGGAGCCAATGAAGCTGTTGTGGCTTCTGTAGAAGATGAAATTAGGCTGAGTACATCATCATTTCCGCCCATCTCATTATCACCTTGACTGTCAAGCTCATCCACTGCTGTAAGTGAGTTACCATCAAGTTGGGTCCCAAGTACACGGGCAGAGAGAACATCGAGAAAAACACGAGAGGCCATTGAACTTAAAACCGTTTCAGCATCACCAGTTGAGGCAACGTCGTGCACTGAGGAGGCAGAAGTAGAACTGTCGTTGTCCTTCTCGTCATTGCTACCATTCCTAGAGGGGGTGGGAGAATCATTCTTTGGGTTCATATACCCTACAAGAATAAAGAAAAAAAAAGAAGATAAAAAGAAGTAAGTAAAGTGGAATTATGAGAAATAAAAACATAATAAAAACCAACATGTAATCCAGTGAATATTAACGCAGGAAGAAACGATTAAAAAAAAAAAAAGATATAATATATATATACTCAACAGAATACAATAAATAAAAATAAAGAAAGGAAGAAAAAAAAAAGGATACAATAACTATTATAAATACGATAAGAAAAAATAGAAGATGAAAAAAAAAATACAAAGATGAAGCATGTAACTTCCTAGTTCCCCTATAAACTCAATCATCACTATAACTATCATTTAAAATAATAGAAGGTCTGTACGGAGTTTCGGCCCTAGATGTGTATGCTTCTGAACCAGGGGATTTGAGCGTTCGCATGTTATTCTCTCTTACTCCTACGTCTCCTGCAATCATCAGTTGTTTTGGCAACTGCCCCTGTTGTGTAGTATTACTGTCATGATATATACTTCTGTTTACTCCAATACCGTAGGTGGCATTCGGAGAATGTTTTAAATATTGTGCTCGTTGAAATGGATTGAGTTTGTTTATATGCGATGGGACATTGGATACCGTTAAAAAATTATTCAATAATGGTTTGTCGCTCTGAATTAAAAGTGAATTACTTGTGTTACCAGTAAGGAGACCACTTCTTGAGCGTGAAGGCAGAGAGCCGTATATTTTTTTTTCTTTAGCTACTACTTGACGAATAGTATCCCATTTGTGATTCACCAAGGTTGCATCTTTAACTAAATCAACATTTTTCTCCTTCGCATTTTGCAACACTAAAGCATCGTGTAAACGACTTCGCAACTTACACTCTTGTTGTTCGAAACTCACAGAGAGACCAGCGCTACTGTTTTCCGTGTTTTGACCACCACTAAAACCACCATCTGATCGTTTCCTGCTACGCGGCCGCTGTATTACTGAGACAACTTGGTTAATAAATGTTGGTGGGCGCCAGCAGTTAATATTAATACCGGGATCTGTAAAGTTCGAACATGCCAAAACACGACATCTTCGACCAAAATGGTACTGCGTAAGTGCACTCACCAAAGCCAACACCAATTGCTGCGCTTCCGCATCTGAAGAGAAAGCGAAGAATAAATCATATTCCTCTTGTACTTTTAGAAGTAGACAGGACTGTAGATCGCTACGGTCGCGCTTGGAGTTAATGTACACTGAGTCCACCTTCTCAAGTGCCGTGCAGCGTACCGTGTCAGACTCTGAGTTTCCAACATACATGTGTGAAGATGTGAGATATGCACAGCGTAGCGTAGGCGGTTGTGGTTGTTCCCAGTGAAGTACACGACCAAACCACAATAGTGCAGCCCTTCCAATAAAACTTGGAAAGAGTGGTTGTAGTAATTCTGGCACCTCCACAAAAGGAATATCGGTCAAGAGATCCACCTTTTCAAAAGCTTCCGTAGAGACATCCTCTGGTTCTTGTGGAAACTGTAAAGGATGTTCGGCGCCGTATTTCTGTTGCAGGTGAAAGAAGAACTCCTCCTCCGTACCGCGGAATGAGTTTATCATTTCTTCTACTTGTGGCTCCTCCGGTACGGGCAAACCGGCGCGAACAAAGAAAGCGGCAACTCGGGCGCAGTTACGCCGTGTAATCGGCACAGGCTCAGGGCCATACTTCGCTTCCAGTGCGTAGAGAAGTGCATCCTCGTGGCCGGCGTACTTCTTCAGTAATTCCTCCGACTCACCACTCCGCTCAGGCGCATATCGTGCAAGGAAAGCATCTAGACGCTGACGCCATGAAGGTCGATCAGAAAGGGATAATGTTCCTCTTTCTCCATTCATTAGCGCATTTTCTGAAGAATTCATATTTGTATTTGCTGGCATCGGTCCGTAAAGTAATGTCAGTCTGTCAAAAAGTAATTGTTCACGTCCTTTATAAACAGAAATAATGGCATCCACATCTGCAATTTTTTTTGGCTCATACTTTCGATAAAATTGAACAAGACGTTCTCGAACTTCTTCTGGGGATAAAGTAGTACTGTACCTATCCAATACATTCTCTGCTTCTCGAGGTTCTGGACCGTAACGTAGAACAAGGTGGTAAAAAAGTTCTTCCTCACGATTCTCGTAACGATTTAAAACTTCATCAACAATACCAGTACTATCAGGAATATATTTCGCACAAAACTTTAGTAGACGTTCACGATAACTTTGCTTCGTTCCTGAATTTGTCATTTTCATAGTTATATCTCTCTTTTCCTCTAGTGTAATATACTCTGGATAAATGTTGTAGAGCATGCTAAGTAATTCTAATTCTCTTCCCAAGTATTGCTCCGTCAATGCTGTTGCATTATTTACACTTGATGGTTCACAGAGACGCAAAATGTCAACAACGCGAGAGTAGACATAATTACGGTATTGTACCGCTTCTGAGGTAGGAGGTAAAGCAACCGTTGGTTGCTGATAGTGTTTCTTTGGCTTTATCTGCAGATCCAGTTCTTTTAGTGACTCTATAGTTTTAAAGGGTGGTGAATTGGCAGGATTGTTTGTGCAAAATACCAAATGTAGCTGTTTCAGAAGTGTGTCACTATCTTGACCCACTGTCATTACACATACATCTACATCTCTTAACTTTGAAATAAATGCAATAAATCGTCGTTTTTGCGTGGCGTCAGCAGTAAATACAGCCACAAATGAAATGTTATTCAGTGGCAATACTCGAACAGGCTGTTTCTCTTGTACCACCACAATCTGTGCTACAGAAATGAACAGTACAGCATGTTGTGGCTCCTGTTTTTGCTCCGCAAAGAACAGTACAGTTCCACCCCAGAAGAGTGAGACATCTTTAAAGGGTGGGAAACAATACCGGATGACAGGAGAAATATACACCTCATTGGAAACTACAGTAGATCTACGCTCCGCATCCGCCACACGAGCAAGTGTCGTTACGAGATGTTCACGCGACATGGCAATCGTTGCTAACTGCGCCGCATTTATTTCCAAACGTCGTCGTGGAATGGAATCGCGTAATATCTGTTGACGGTGTTGTTCCATCTGTGTTATTTCCCTTGTGGTATCAGAATCATTATTGTTATTATTATTATTATTATTATTATTATTATTATTATTATTATTAGTAGTAGTAGTAGTAGTAGTAGTATTGTTAGTATCAGGCTTTGCACTTGATGGAAGTCGTACCGTAACTTCCGTTAGTTCTCTAATGTTCTCAACGGCAATTTTTCGCGTTGTCACTGGACACCCACGGGCTAGCAACAGCCGCTCCACAATGACTGCAACTGTGTAGCCCAACTCCGCCATAATGACCAAATCCTCCTTCTCCTGCAATTTGCTAAGAACAAAAGCTGTAAATAGAGATTCCTTCTCCTTCACCTCTATGCGAGAGAGGTGGTCAGAGTTGGTCACAATACCACGAATAGTTTTAAAATCCACACGACGGTAAAGTTCACCCGTCTCGCTGCCTGTGTAAATACTCTCATTCGTCACAAAAAGCACCACAGACTCACGTCTCTCCTCATCTTCTAGATGAAGCCATAGCTGCTGCTCCACCAATCCACAGAAGAAAATGGCACAAGAGTTCAGAAAATCATAATTACCCAGCAGCGTATCAGGTACCGTCGCATATGGAATACCTGTGGTAGGATCAACCGCTGCCGGCCTTGCAGACATTTAAGATTATATATATATATATATATATATATTTGTACCGGGCTGAGTGAAAATGTATATATATAAAAAAAAGAGGCCAAGCAAAGAAAAATGCAGTGAAATATAAGGGAAAAATAAGAAAACAAAAAGAAACAAAAGTAAATACTCCATGATGGAAGAAAAAAAAAGGAAAAAAATCAACACGGGAATTTCTTCTATTCTCCGTTAACAACAAAAATTACACAGAGCAACAACAACATCAACAACAACACGGCAAGAAAAATTATGCATTATCGTTGTACATAGGTGAGGCGCCTGTGTACCACCCTGAAGTACCAGTGTGATCTGTTGCTTTTCCTTGTAATTGCCGTACACTGTCACGTCCACTAGGCTTCACCTCAACCTGATATTGTGTTCCTTTGTTAGCGTTCTCTGATTCCTCCGTACGGTCCCCTGAGAGCATATTCGAGAGTGAATCCGCTGAAAACGCCTCGTCCATATTTAATGGAACTCCTCCCTTCTCCCCTTCTGCAGCTGATGATGGTGTACTTGCACGCGACACATTTGCAGAGAGTCCACTTCCAGACTCTGTAGCCTCTTGCTGTTCCTTTGCAAGGAGTGTCACTTGATGAGGGGTGAGCTGTTCCCGGTGGAGTTGTGCCAATACATTAAGCACTACAGTAGCCTCTCGCATAGTGATAAATCGGCCTGAGAGTTTCGCCTCTTCCGCCTGAATAGATGCTACTCGTTTTTTAATAGATAAATCGTCGTAAAAAGTCTGCAAAACCTTCTTTATAGCTACACTGTGAGCTACGCCCTTCCTCTTGAGGTCGTAGTATTCCTTTTCCATTTTGTCCAGCGGCTTACGTACCCAAAAAATATTATAATACCGCATTCCCTCTGATGCTACCAGTCGACTCTTACGAGCCAATTCATCGCGAAGAGCCACCCGCTCTTGACTGAGAGTGTCACTCCCGTCCTGCGTGGGTTCACTCGCATTGTGTGGATTCAATGTTTTCTCCTGTTGAAAGTTGTGTTGGATGGGTGGAAACATGCGAAAGTGACTGTACCACGCAGGTGGGATGTAAAAACCCGTACCAACCAGACGAGCCATACGGCGCATGTGTTGCCAAGGCTCATATTGTTCATTCCATATATCAAAGCGCGGTGCCACTCCCATGTTTTTGGGCATCTTATACCGTCGAAGTACTGTTTGCCGCATTGTACGTTACAAGTCTCTTTCTTTACCTTTTTTTTTTCTTTATTTTGTTTCGTGTTAATCTTTTGCTTACTTTAGCGAACTATATGAACCTCAAATATACCAGTTAATTCAAACCGCCTTCTATCACGTACCCGCAGAACTGGGGCTATATGTATGTGTTCTGCGCATTCATAAGAAGATAAACAGCAAACAAAAAAAAAAAAAAAAAAAAAAACAAGAAAAAATACAAAAAACAAAGAAAGAACTAGAACGATATCAACAGCAGCAAACAAGAAAAGAAAAAAGAAGAAGTGAGGAATTTTAACACCCCACACGCATCCAACGCAAGTACAGAGCGAATAACTTTCTTTTTTTTTTTCGTTTACGAACAGGGAGAGAATAAAAAAGGGGAAAAGAGGAGACGCCCACGCACGCACATTTTGACGTCACTATCAGAGCACAAAACAAAGAAGAGAAAAAAAAGACAATAACTACAACAACGAAAATAACAACAACAAAGAAGAAGCAGCTGCTGCAAGATCAGTAAGAGCTAATATGGTGATAAAAGAAAACAAAAAAAAAACACCTTTTAAGAGGAAAACAAAGTCGCCGCTGCTACCTAATATTGTGTGAACGGAATCCTCAAGCGGACACGAACCGTAAAAAATGAAATAAAAACAAAAAACCGATGAAAACCTACACCCACAGATGCAGTTAAAGAAAGAAAAAGGCAAACAAGGAGTGGAAAAAATAAGCAACTAAATGAGTAGCAGAAAACTAAAGAAAGAATGAATTAAAAAAAAAAAAAACAAGGGATAAGAAAGAAAAGAAAAAATGAGGATAGAACAAATCAGTACATATATACACTTACAAAGATCAGTATATTATAATAGTACTGGATTTTTTTCTTTTCATCACATATTCTTCTTCTCTGTTTTCAGTCCCTTTCGGTTTAAACATTCTCCCTCAGTTTCTTGTTAATATAAACCCTGCATTTTTTCGTCCTTTTCGCTTTAGTTTTATCTTCAATTCTTCGGTCTATTAGATGCCGTTGTTGTTGTTGTTGTTGTCTTCGTAGTATTTGTCTTCTTTTTTATTCTGCTTTTTTTTTTGCTTTTTTTTTTTTTTTTTTTATTTGAGGGGGGAGGACGGTTTTTTTTTTTGCTTTTTCCTCTGTTTCTTGACTTTTTCTTTTTCTTTCGTGCACCCCTTACACTCTTCACTTTTGCTTATCGCTGGCCACATTCACTTTCGTCAAGTCCCCTTTTTCCCTCATTTCCTCCCTCATTTGTCATTCAATCGTTCTCCATTCACCCATGTGCATGCGCATCTCTTTGTCTTTTCTAAGCATAGATTGATATCAAGATAGGAATATAAATAAGTAACATATAAATAAATAAATAAATATATAGACATTGCTCCATTGAGGAAATAATGGGTGTGTATACAGAAGAAGAAGAAAAAAAAAAAAAAAACGATTTTCACTTTCTTTTTTTTCTCTCTCTCTGTGGGGAGGGGTTCACTCTCCCCATAGACCCTCACCACCCCTGCAATGATAGGATAGGAGCAGCAATGAACAAGTGACACATAGTCAAACATTTCTTGTTCCATCGATCCCTCTCCCTCTCTCTTTCTCTTTCTTCCTCTCTCTCTCTCTCTCTTCCTCTCAATATCTTTGCCGCTCCTTTCCGTTTACTGTATTGCCTTCTACAAGATGAACTTCTTGATATCCACTTTCTTCACCATGCCTTCTACAGCTTTTTTCACATACGCTGCGTCAATGACAAATGTTTCTCCCTTTCTATCTGGACCGTCAAAGCTGACTTCCTCAACCACCTTCTCTGTGATAGTGATAAGGCGGCGAGCGCCAATGTTCTGTACGGTGGAGTTAATGTGGGCGGCAATAGAAGCAATTTCCCACAATGCATCGTCTGTAAAAACAAGTTTAACTCCCTCCGTTTCCATCATCGCTATATGTTGCTTGATAAGATTGTACTTTGGCTCTGTGATGATGCGGTGAAAATCCTCTGTAGTGAGTGGTTTAAGTTCTACGCGAATAGGAAGACGTCCCTGTAATTCTGCCAACATATCAGATGGTTTTACACTGTGAAAGGCACCGCTGCAAATAAATAAAATCTTGTCTGTCTTGATTTGAACATTAAACTTCGTCGAAACTGTAGTACCCTCCACAAGTGGAAGCAAATCCTGCTGCACTCCCTCTGCAGAGGCCTGATGCCCTTTATATCCCCCCGCTGCTGTCACAATTTTGTCAATCTCATCAATCACGACAATACCATCCTCCTCACACGCCCGCAGCGCCTCCGCTGAGACGTCTTCCGTTTCTACCATTTTTTCAATCTCCTCCTGCAGTACCGCCGGCAGGGCGTCTTTAATCTTCAGTACTTTCTTCACCGTTTGCGGCCGCTGCCCGCCAAGTGTGCCAGAGACGTCAAGTGAGATGAAGAGACCCTCGCCACCGGCTGCCGAACGCGGCTTCTCCTTCTTCTCCTGCAACTCCACCATCACCTCAATATCGTCCAGAGCGCCACTGCGGAGATGCTCGCGGAAGCCGTCAGAGACTCCTGCAAGTGCCTTTAAAATACGATCTTCCGCCTTCTGCCGTGCAGCCTCCTCGTGCTGTCGCATGATGTTGTTCTTCGTCTGAGAGAGTGAGGCTTTATACAGATCTTCAATAATACTCTCCACATCCCGCCCGTGAAAACCAACCTCAGTGAACTTTGTTGCCTCCACCTTCACAAAAGGTGCATCTACAAGTTTCGCCAAACGTCGTGCGATTTCTGTCTTGCCAACACCAGTGGGTCCTATCATCAAAATATTCTTGGGGGCAATCTCCTCACGTATTTCCGGATCCACCTGGTGACGCCGCCACCGATTACGCAATGCCACCGCCACTGCCTTTTTCGCATCAGTTTGTCCAATAATAAAATTATCCAACTCTCGCATCAGCTCCCGTGGCCGCATGTTGCGAATAAGTGTTTGTCGAGGAGAACCCTGAGAAGGTGGAGTTGATGGGGCAGCCGACGCGGAGGCCGCAGCACTACAGTAACGAGCAGCCACAGTCGCAGCAGTAGTAGTAGCAATGCTCGTAGTCACCCCAGCGGGGAAGGAAAAGGAAGCCGCACGACGCATGCTGCTGTATGCTTGTTTTTTTCGTGCTTTTTGATTTTACTTTTTTTCCTGTATTCCTGAAACCTTTATTTTTTTTTTTTTTTTTTCAAGGAATCACTTTGTCTTATACCCTTTTTTTTTTTTTTTTTTTTTTTTGATCTGGCGAAGAATAAATCAAGGCGAGTTCTGTGTTAAATCTAAAAATGTGGCCTTGTGTCTTTTTTTTTTCTTTCTGTTTTTTTTTTTTTCTTCTTCTTTAAGATTTTTTTTTGCGTTTTTGTGTATTTACAGAGAAAGATGATAAAAAGAATAGCAATTATAACAAAAAAAAAGAAACGAATTTATATTTGCTCAGCAATCTTGGTAATAGATACACATAAAAAAAAAAGAAAAAGAAACGCACTATGGAAACAAGTATAAAACAAAATAATAAAAAAATACCCAATTACTCTGACACTCATCTAACGATAGTTAAAGGTACCCAGCAGATATATATATATATATACTAGGCCTTCACTCATATATTGTTGCTGAAAAGTATGTGCTGCTTCTTTCGCTTTAAAGGAGCCAATGAACGAATCTTATGCACAAGACGCAACAAACTTGTCAATAGGACCCATTTCTGTCGTTCCATAATACCAGCAGTGTAAGTACTACGAGAACCAACCTGAAGTTCCTCTTGTAAAACATTGAAATAGACCGCTGAGTAGAGTCCCAGACCTTCTGGACTATACAAGTGGACCAATGGTGGATAGCGTTGCATTAAATCCGCTTCGTGTGCCAACATATTTACCGCACCATATGGAAGTTTTAAACGACCAGTGAAAGCATAAGCAACAAACTTTGACTGCGCTTCAAAAAGCATAAAAGGTGGAAGTAATTCTCTTTGTATGCCTACGAAAGCAATAGAAGGGTCTTGTGCATATAGTGTACCAAGATACAAACCACGACGTTCCAATGATCTTGTGGTACCTACTCCATGGGAATAAGTTTCATTCTGTTGATTTTCTTTTTGTGGATTATCATTTCCTCTTTCTTGAAGCAAGAGTGGTGGATCTTCGAGGACATTTCTAAGGTCACGGTGCAAAAATGGAAACCGTAAGTGGTACCCTGTGGCACAAATTACCGCATCAACGTTATCGATAAATATTCCACTGGGTTCATTATTATTATTATTATCAGCAACAGTATTTCTAGATTCAAGTGTCTTAATGTCTTGTTTTCTCCGCACCATGGCACGCACTTTAGCTTCATCAACTATCTCCATTGTTTGCTTACGCTCCTCTGCAAAGAGAATCCCTCTTCCCTCGCACAAAATAACATGACCAACACTTGGTATCTTTCCAAAGAGTTCAGCATTGCTAAACTGCATCCAACGAGAAACAATACGACTTCCTTTTGTGTGATCTTTTCGCCAACCGGGCAAACAAGAGAGTAATTGTAGTGCTGCACTCCCTGCATCACGCATAGCCCCATTACGATTAAAATTTATTGAAGAACCACATTGTAAAACTCCATCCCACAGCTCTCCCTGCTCTTGACCAGGAGGATGATAGCTACTATGATATACATCAGCGCCACTGCGACGCAATTCCATACAATAATCCCAGGCGGTTACACCATTACCCACAACTACAACACGCTTGTTTTTGAACTGACGAAAATCCTTCACATGAGAAGCGTGATGAAGTTCCCCACCTGCGCTTACATATGGCTTTAAAACATCCTTTATCCCAGAAGGATATCGTGGTTCATGTGTCTGTCCTGTACAAACGCATACCTTGTCGAAGGACCACTCAAACACGTCGCCATTCACTACATTTACTGTAATCACACGCCATACAGCACCTTTGCAATCATACCGCACCGATTGAACTTTCGTATTAAATCGAACAAGTCCTCTTACACCTTTTTTCTCCGCATACTGCTCCAAGTAGCGACGTACTGAGGAGTGATGTGGAAACTGTGGCACTGTGAAATCAAATCGAACATCACTAAAACTAAAGAGATCCTTTGGTAAAATACACCGCATCGTGGGATGAATAGGTGACACTAATCCACGTGAAGAAAATGGTTTGCGAGTATCGCTATTCCAAACTCCACCAGGATCTGCAGCAAGTTCAAAACATGTGACTAGTAATCCACATTGACGCAATGCCGTGGCCGCCGCCATCCCAGCAGAACCACAGCCAATAACTGCACATGACTGCATTTGTACCTATTTTTTTTTTTATCTTTTTGATTCCCTGTTGCCGATATAACTAGGTCAGTTCAGAAAAGATTAGCGACAACCAAAACCAAGACATTAAGAAAAAAGGAAAAAAAAAGGGTTAAAAAGATTCAAGAAGGGAAAAAAAATACGTTATTGGTCTTGCAGAATGTTCCCCCAAAACTCCTCGCCTTCGTTTTCTTTACATGATAACCAGGTATGGTCCAATAACCTGTACCACTGCAACAACATTATACATTTTTACTTTTCCTCCGTGGCAAACCCTTCTCAGCGAAGTAAGAACCAACAGGATTGGACTTCTTTATTGCGATATCGGTTGCCTCGTGGTAAAGTTCGGAAGTAACACCAATAAGGCGTCGGAGTGTTAGTTGTTGTTCTTCCTCTAAGGATGGCTGTGGCTGAATGTAAGCAGGTCCTTTGAGGGCTGCAATCATCTTTTTCACTTCGATCCGCATTACAACGGGTACGAATAACAAATCACATCGTGAAGTATGAGGTGTTGTTAATTGCTGTATTGCATCACGATTTCCATCTTCATCAGAATGAGCGGGTGAGACATTTGGTTGAAAGGATGTCAACATATGAGGAAGATTTGCTGCGTTCACGTAGTTGTGATCTGGGGCAGCGTATAGCATCCATAGTTCCACCTCTGTGCCACTAACTAATGTTACATCACCAATGTACGCCACACATTTATCAACAAAAGGTAAAAACCCAAGCAATTCCCGAGAACCATCACTTGGGCGTTTAGAAACCACCGCTACACTCGCCACGTTTGCACACGATGGCATCACTATAAATTGAGTTTTACCCTCAGAAACTTGATGAGTAAGAGGAGCGAAAAGTTTGCAAACAGAGGGACCAAAAATTTGTCTTGGAAGCTGTGGAAATTGACAAGGTACAAATGTCACCAATACTTGATATGCCACAACAGGAAGAAATGGTTCATCAGCTATGACAGTGCTGTATGGATCTTTACGTATACGTCTCGCACCAATAATTATACTGTAGTATCCAGCTTCCGGTACCATCATTGTAAAAGTTTCACATCCGGTAGCCTCTTCACGTTGATGCCAAACCCATTGTGGTCCAATTGATGTAGCTGTACTACAGTCCTCTGGTAGCTCACTGAGGGGACCTCGAAATAGGACGCAACACAGTTCAGTCCCTTCTGGTTTATTATTAACAAGACCAACATAAAAAGGCGTAGAGCGTGCGGTGAAATTACAGCGGCGCCGATGAGAAGATAACGCTAATGGGAAACGAAAGAAAGTATGGGTAAGACAAGGTGCGTTTTCCCACTGAACTTTTCTAGGCGCTGACATTAACAAAGTATGACGTCCATCATTAGGCAAATGTGTGGCACAGAATTCCTCTGGATGCGTGTTGAAGTAAAAGCTCTCAATGTGTTTTGTCTGAGTCACAGAAGTAAGGAGGGTGGGTCCCTCTAACAAACCCCGCTTTGGTTTCTCTTCCTGAATAGTACCGGTTCGCTTAGACCTTGGTGCCGATGTCTCTTTCGGGGCGGTTGTCTTGGCCTGTTCTGGCTCCTCTGCCGTGTCCTTCGCTAGCGTGACGGGGCGCAGTGGCCCGTTGTAGGCTGAGAGGGCAACATCAACGAGATAGCGTCGCACCGCCGGCTCGTTGTGTGGGATGTGGACAACGTTCCAGGCCCACGGGAACACTTCGCCCGGGGCGCGGCCGCGTAGATATCCTGCGACCACTTCGGCCGCCACCCCAGCGGCTCGCAGAAAAGCGACGTAAAGTCCTGCGAGGGTGGTGGGATCGGCCGTGCGGCGCTCGAGGGCGGCGACGTGGGGGTCGGCCGGCGGGGGTGCCGGTGGCGGAGGGTCCCCCGCTGCGGGCCGCCGTCCGCCTCCCCGCCCCGCCGACCGCCTCCCACCGCCAGCCGCAGCATTACCCGCTTTGGTATTAACATTATGGCTATTGGCATTGTTGTTGGTGTTGGCATTCGTAGTCTCTTCACCCCCAGCGTTGGGGGAGGGCAGTTCCACCGTCATATTCTCGCATAACCAGTAGTAAATCGCCCGCATCTTTTTCATCGCACACTGGGTAGCATTCTGTCGCCATGAGGTTTGCATATATGGTTCCACAATTTTCGCTACCACCTCCTCTAGCTTTGTACATCCCTCCATTGGTCCAACCGATCGGGCCTGCGCATCCGCCTCCTCCCGCTCCTCCTTGCCAATATCCCATCCAGCATCGGCAACAAGATCATCAACGGATGCCCCGACATCATACATTCCAGGAGTCAGAGTGTTGTGGTGGTAACCATTGCGGGATTGGTGTAAATGTTGAACACCATTTCCATTCGTTGGACTTGGTGCAAACGACGGTTGTTGTTGTCGTCTCATTTCCTTCTCGATGGAAAACCCAAAATGGTGCAGGTAGTCGCCATAGTACCGAAGTTGTAGGTCAAAAATAGAAGGCCGAACATTTTTGTTAAACATATCGAAGAGGTGTCGACCAAAACTCTCTATTTGTACCTCCTCGCTTTCCACCAAAGGTGGCGGGGTTGCCTTCGTCCTGCTGTTCATTCTACTGGGATGGTGCAGAATAGAAAAAAAAAAAAAACTACAGACACACACAATGAAACAAACGCAAAAAGAAATAAATAAAAAAATAGGGAACATGAACAGAATTAGAGAACTCACATGGCTACAATGAAGAATAATATCAGAATAGGCTAGAGAAAATTCATAGTTAGTAGCAAATAAAGAGAAATGACTGAAACGTGGTCTTCATTATATTATTTTTTTTTCTTTTCCCTTTCACACCGTTCAGCAACTCAGAACAGTACTCTTTCATTCTTGCTTTTTTTTTCCCCCCCCTCTCTCTCCTTGTCTCTTTTTTTTTCTTTTATCCGAGATTTATCTATCTCTCTTGCTCTCCCTCTTTCTCTCTCACATACACACTCAGAACGCAAATGTGGGTTTATTTCTTCCTCGGGGTACACTGCAACAACATACCTTTTTTAAAAATACACAACATCTGCTCAGAGCACTTCACCATATGGAAAATGGTAAGTCCCCCTCCAATCTATGCGTTACTTTTATTATTATTACCGTTATTAGTGACGCCTTTTGTCTTTTGTTTGGCTCTAACATAGTATCAACTTTGTATTGACACTATGCATTCTTGTAGTGAGCCCATAGAAGAAGAAAAAAAATAACAAGGGTATAGAATTTATTTCTTTTTTTTTTTTTTTCAATACATCCCTCTTCGTTCCGAACCACACATAGGCACATACACATGGAAAGCAGAAAAGAAAGAGAAAAAGAGAGAGAGAGAGAGAGAGACCTACACATATACACAAGAATGTGTTCCATCAAAGTTATTTCCTTCCAGAGCCCAATTCACTCCACCAAAGTATACTCAATAATACACATTAGGGGAGAAGAGAAAGGGATTTTGAAGAAATGGGGTAAAAGGGAAACAAGAGGCGGAAATTTAAAAAAAAAAATTCTCTGGAAAAAAAAAACATATAACATAAAATGAATTTTTCACCTCTTCATTAAGAATAAAAAGAGAACAACAAAAAGGGAAGAGAATGTACCCCTTAACAGCCACCTCAAAAATCTATATCATCTATAAACGAATCACTTCAGCGAAGACTCTCATTAATCTTATTACCTTTCTTTCCCTCTCTCCAAGCCCCTGAGAAAGAAAAAGAAAGAGCATACACGAATTCAATTTCTTCACATTTTCGTTGTATATACCATCAGAGTGCAACCATAGAGAGAAAAAAAAAGAATAAACTACTTGCTCTTTTCAGTTTCATTTTTTCTCTTCTCTCTCTTAGTGTTTGCCAGTCATTCTACCTCTGACACTGTAGTTGCAGCTGTAGACACAATAACAGGAGGAGGAGGAGAAGAAGAAGAAGGAGACGAGACAACTTTTGCACTATTATTACTAAAACAGTAATACGCATACATAAAAACTTCAAAAGCATATATTTGTGTCGCCTTGCTTATAACACTACGCAGCAGTTGCGGGGAAAGTCCCTTGTAAAAACCAAGCAGACCGTCTGCGCGATATATATGCCGCACAGTAGGTAAGACTTGAGTATGTTCATACTTTCCTGTAAATCGGTTTACAGTACGTAGATGTGTCATGACAACATTGTATGGGTAAGCTATACTAGTAGCAGCGAGCTTTGAAACCATTGTAAGCGACAACATTGCCACTGAGGCCATAACAAAAGTATTTCCACCTGTGAAAGTACCTTCATTCGTTATACGCTTCAGTAACTCATAAATACTCCAGAAGAGGCCTTCTTCAACAAAACGACCTAATATATTTGTCAATGTACCACGATAAAACCCGATAAAACCGTCGCGACGTATTACATCTTTAAACACTTGTCGTATTGTCAATTTATCTTCTACCTGAACCCGTGTGCGCACCAAAAAAAGAGGTGCTAGAGTTAAATTTGTTGCACTTACAGCACCGAAAGCACTTAAAGCAGGACGTACACGCTCATCCACTCCTACATATGATAATTCCCGTTGAAGCAACCTATATGTAGGCAAATAAATACCGTTTGATGGAAGCGACGCCATTAAGTTGGCTCCAAGACCGCGGGAAAAGGCATGTTTAAAGCCATCACCGAAAAGATCCCTCACAGTATAAAAAAGACTTTTGTGTGCCTTGCCAGTGGCTGTGCGGCTTGCTGAAAGGCGAACACGAATAGTATCGAGGGGATTTGTAACTAATGTAGAGCAGGTACCAGCGAAACATCCTCCCAAAAAAGAGACAGCGTAATCCAAGTCTCTGCGCCCAGGAGGACCACCATATGTGGTAGTCATTCCTCAGAGAACGAATGAGTGTGCACTGGAGTAGGTACCAAAAAGTATATATTAGAAAGAATAAAAAAAATAATAAAAAAAAAGAAAGAAAAGAAAATAATACAACAACAACACAAAACAGAAAAAAAAAAATTACAAAGAGATAGATTAAAATATATTTGCAAAGAAAAAGACACTCATATGTAAATGCATACACGTGAGAAATCAATGCTCTTTTTGTTTTCGATGATGTTCTTTTTATCTGTTTTTTTTTTTTTTTTNTTTTTTTTTTTTTTTTTCTTTTCGTCTCATGAATATTAACCGTTTAATACTTTACTTTCCCTCCCCCCCCCCATCTGCTTCTTTCTTCGCAGTGAACCTCATTTTCGTTGTTTTTCTTATTCCTTCGAATACAGAGAAACAGATAGAAACAGACAAAGAGAAGAAGAAGGAGGAGGGGGGAAAAAAAGAAAGGAAGATGAGGCAGGAGAGAGACATTTAGCCTGTTACATATCCGTACTCTCAGTGTTTCGCCATACGCTTCTTATGGCGTGACTTCTTCTTACTTTTGGCACCATCGTGATGTTTATAGGGGGTCTTACCATTCTTTTCGCGGCTCTCCGCCCGTCTTGCCTTCCTTGCGTCTCGAATCTTCTTCTTTTTCATTTTCTTAATGACACCTGCCTGAAGTTTCTGCTGTGACTTGCGTCTCAGCTCTCGTGTGATGTTCTTTTTCTTCTCTGCTGCCCGTGCCTTCGCCTCGCGCTGCTGGCGCCGTGTTTGTTTCTGTTTGCGTAGGAATACCGCCTCCTCGCGGTCCCAGCTGGCGAGTTCGTTCTGGAAGTGATTGACGGTCACCTCCGCCTCCTTCTCGTAGACCCGCCGGGCCTCCTCCTCCCGCCGCTTCCGCTCCGCCCGGCTGAGGCACCATGTCTTGGTTGGCTGCGGGGCCACACTCGCGGCCAGCAGCTCGTGCTTCTGCTCCTCCGTCCTTCCCGATCGGGCCCCGTAGCGACGCTCCGCCTGCGCAATCTTCGCCTCCAGCGCCTCCGCCGCCAACTGCCCGCGCACCTCCGGGAACACCGCATCCACACGGGCAGTGGCCTGCCGCAACAACGCATCCGGCACATCGCGTCGCTTCACAGTGGAGGCCTGGTGGTTGTTCACAACACCACTCACGGCGAGGATTTTACGCATAATATCCCCATCATTCGCCTCGTCTACAAGTGAAACCGCAGTCCCAATACTCCCAATGCGAGCTGTACGCCCAACGCGGTGAATATAGGCCGTAAGTGTAGGGGGTAAATCAAAGTTAATAACAGTTGATACACCTTTGATATCAAGCCCACGTGATGCAACATCTGTAGAAAAAAGGTAACGTACTTCACCTGAAGCAAATTTCTCCAATGAGGCGAAACGTTCTTCTTGAATTTGGTTTCCCTGTAATTCTGCACTTGCAAATCCCAAGGCAGTAAAGAGAAGATGAAGTCGATGCGCTGTAGTGCGATATCGAGTAAACACCATCGTCTTATCTTTAAAGTATTCTAAACAAAGGGCAACAAGATAACGCGACTTAACTTTTGTGATATGCTCTGTATTGTCATCTGTAGTACTGGTTTCAGCTGTCTCAGCTTTTGAGGCATCACGAAGACGTTTCGAGCGAATACGTTTTTTGCCCGTTTTTTCTACATTTTCTTCTTGTGATTCATCCCCGTCCTTCTTGTCATTATCGGACCCTGTATTAGTTGTTGACGTAGAAGTGGTACTGAGAGGAGTCATACGAATGCGCACAAATTGTTGTCGCAATTTCGACTGAAGTGCCACATGACCAACGTCGACATTCTTAGGTTCAAAGAGATGTTCTTTCGCGAACTCATCCACTTCTGTAGTCATAGTTGCAGAAAACATTAAGACTTGTCTAAATTCTTCTGGTACATGTTTAAGAATATCCACCACTTGATCTTTAAGTGTCACAGTTAGCATTTTGTCACACTCATCAAGCACAACTATTTCCACACCAGTGAAATCAAAAGAGCCATGTGAGCCCTTGTAATTATGTAAAAGGTCAACTAACCGTCCAGGAGTCGCAATGAGAATATCTGGAATCGATTCAAGAGCAGCTTCTTGTGCACTTTGTGCTACACCACCAATTGCCAACGCCACAGTTAGTCCGGAAGTAAATGTAAGAAACTGTTGCAGCATCTGCTGGCACTGCATACCTAATTCCCTGGTAGGAACCAAGACAACAGCACGGATAAAACGACGCTTACCACCTGAGTGCATTTGTTTTAGTGGGGCCCGTGTCAAAAGAAGATGTAATAATGGCAGTAAAAAGGCTCCTGTTTTCCCTGATCCTGTCACAGCTCGTGCACAAACATCACTACCGCTGAGAACGGCAGGAATAGCTTGCGCCTGAACAGGTGTTGGAGAAAGAAATCCGGCATGTGTTACGGCACGCACGAGTGCTTTGCAAAGACCCAGCTCAATCCACATTACTTGATCCTGTGTTTGTTTACCTGATTCTTTGTTACTTCCTTTCAAAGAAATACTTTCGCCTGGTATGGCTTCTGTACGACGTTCCTCATTAGTTGTAGAACGTCTGCCAGAGCTCTTCACACCTGTTAGTCCAGAAAAGAACACAGGTGTGTCCTCAAGCATAACTTCCCCAGCTGTGGATGTGCCATTGTATTCACCCCTTCCACTCACAGAGCGGTTTTGAAAACGAGAATGCGCTTTAGACATTCAAAATCAATTGCACTTTCGTTGTGTGTGTGTGTGTTGTTTTTTTTTTTTTTTTTTTTTTTTTTTTTTTTCTATTTTTTTTTCTTCCTTTTATGCCTGTTTAAACTTTTTTTTTTTGTTTCTCTCAACCTACTTGTTTTCCTCAACCACTGAGACCTCAGTCGACTATACGACACCTTGTCTTCAGGAACTACTACTTGGTACTAATTATGTTCAAGAGAAGAAAAAAAAAAAAAATAAGAAAAAAGGAAGTTTGTATTCACTCCTATAAGAACCACACGTTGGGGGAAAAAAAAACAGTAATCATGTTTATATCCACGTTTTTTTTTTTTTTCTTTCTTTCAGATATAATGGCCTTTAGTGGTTCTTTTTTTCACCCTGTTGCCACAGAGAATATGTGGTAACTAACGGAGTGTGGAAAAAAGATATACACAGACACATGCACATTTAAAGAATGTAAACATATAAATGCTAGCGAAAAAAAAGGTTGGTTACAAAACGAAAATACAGAATGAACAAGTAAAGAAAAAGGGTAGATAAAAGAAAACCAGTAAAATTCGAAAGAGCAAGTGACAAATACCAGAAGTAATATTTATTAAGATTATATTACTTCGCCCTCATTATTTACGCTGTTTGACCTTTTTAAAATCTCTTTCTACATACCCTCTCTCTTTTGTTTTACACTCTGTATTTTCTTTTCTTTTTCTTCATTTGATCTTCTTCCCTTCGGTCTCGACATATGTTGCCTTCCTTGTCTCTTATTGGCAACACCTGGCATCATGGAAAGAAAAAGGATGAAGGATGAATCAATACAAAAAAAAAGGATAAATAAATAGACGTGAATAAATATCTGAGGTAATAATAATAAAAAAAAAAAAAAAAACGAAGAGCAAAAAGGGAAAGAAGGTGGAAAGTGCATTTTGTACACCACATGGTAATTCTCATTTTTGCATGCAAAATGCCACATATATTCACCACTTAAAACATCATCATCATCATTACTCCCATGTGTTGCAGAGATTTATATATCACTTCAGGTACATATGGGGAAGAAATCAAGAAAAAAAAAAGAGCCCATCGCAGACACATACACCTATATATAAAGGGGAGACGGGCACGTTTTTTTTTTTTTTTTCGTACCTTTCTTTCCCAAACTTCAAGGCAAAAAACGAAAAGAAAAGAAAAGAAAGAAAAAAAGGGCAGTAGTGCAGTACCAACAATAACACATTTGCACTATCAAACACATTTCCCTGTGATTTTTTTTTTTTCTTTCCTCACCTGTTTTTTTTTTTTTTTTTATTTCGTGTGAATGCCTTTTATTTCATTTTTCTTTTCCTTTTTTAACTAATGAGGCCTGATATCCCACCCACTCCATGACACCAGTAACATATACAACCTGTGTAAACAGGAAGAAAAACAAAACAAGTAAATGAATAGGAGTGAAGGAAAGTGTAAAGAAAAAACATACAAATAAGAAAAACCAATTCAACGCCCAGTAAAGGTATCATTTCTTCCTTTAGTTTTTGACTCTGTTTTTCTGTATTATTGTATGTTCCTCCTTCTACTTCTTCTGTCTACCATTTCCACTAGTACTATCTTTTTTTTTTTTTTTCTTTCACCCTTGCACCACACTTTCCTACTCTCCATTACATTATGACTTCACCTTTCCCTACTTCTTTGATGCGGTCTAGTGAATTAGTGTCAGGAAGAAAGAGAAGTAATTGGTTGACTTTCTAATGGTTGTAATGATGTCTTGGTGGTGGTGATTTATTTTCCCCTTCTCTTCCTCTTCTTTGTCCCCCCACACCCCACAAAAAAAAAACCTTGTCGTAATAATTTCCTACCACTGTTCTAAACACATGGACTAAATGGGTTGACATGGTGGAACCGCAAATCAGACGGAACTCTGTTGTAAGTTACTCTTGTTTATTCCCATTCTTTTTGTTTTCGTTTTCCTTTGAAAAATCCAATTATGTTCGGGTTTTTATTTTTTCTTCACCTTCTTGTTTTCTCTCAAATAAATGTATGTTCCTTTCCCTATTCCGTTCGAACTTTTCCTTTGCACATCTTGTGTACAATATATAATTTTCAACAGTACCTCTTGCTAGCCTTTTCTTTCTCTTTTTAGCACGGCAGTGTCTGACGATATTGTTACCAAAGTCGAAAACAGACACTAGAGTAAGGCAGAAGGTACCAAAACACCCCCAAAAAAATTTTTTTTACTACTGTCAAGATATTGTGTTGTATGCGCTACCATAGTGGACTCGGTATGGGACTGTTTGAAGACAAACGTAGAAAGATATGTTACGTCTTCTTTTTTTCTTTTCAATTTAACCTTTCCGCTCAATCATACAAGCGCAATGCTCCCATTTCATAAAAAAAAGAAAAAAAAAAAAAACAATTTTGATCAGAGGTATTGGTTTGACAGACCATATGGATTGTGTCGGTACATCAATGGAGCCTCTGTGGAACAGGTGGCGGAAAAACTGTTGCAGCAGCGACCACGGTGCGCATGTGAGCGCGAGACAACACTTGGGGATGGACGGAATGTAGTATTGGACTCCACTTCATGCTGTTCACATCCCACAGCAGGTGAATCACCCCAGTAGGGTAAGGAAACAATAACAGGTCGTCGCCGTGGATGTGACGTTATTGCCGGAAGTACAGCAAGAAGTGAACTTTCAGCCGAAGTCGCGCTACATAGTGATTGAGATGGTAAAGGTGCACCGTCGAGTCGCTGTAACCCAGTCGCCCTGAGCAATTCTACATTACGTTCTTCTGTCTGGAGTTCGTGTTCACCATGGGCAAAGGCACAACGGGTTCCAAACGGACATTCCTCCTGACGAAGATAAAACTCGCAGAGAGCTGTTCTAAACTTAGAGGGTTTTACCTCCGCATGTTTATTGGCCTTGGGCATATTGTAATTCTTCTTGTTATTCTGTTGGTTTTTTTTTTCTTTTTCTTCTTCTTCAAATAAGTCTTTATTTCTTATTTTTTTTTCTCTTCCTATACGAATATCCTCAAAAAATCACCTGTGTTTCTTTTTTTTTCTCTTCTTCCGTTCTTTCTCTACTTCCAACTGATATTTAAATACTATAACAACATAAACAAAGGGGATAGCAAAGCATGTGTCCAAGGAAGCAAATTCTCGGTACCAGCGAGTTTTAAGGAGCAAATATATCCATACATACAGCAGAAAGACAGAATGTTAGATAAAAACTCGAACTTCTTAAAGATAGAAAAATGGTGGTAGGGAGAGGAGGGGGGAGAGAATATGAGTCAACACGGTGTCAGAAAACAAGCGCCATTTTTTTTTTTTTTTTGTTTTAACTGGCGTTTGTAGGCACACATAGCCAATCTTAAAAACACAGTGAAAGACGTATGTATTAATGCAATCACCTGACTCCATTTGAAGAAAAGAAAAAAAAAAGATACGAGGTGAGAAGTGAAAAAAAAAAAAAAATGCATATATATATATATATATATATATATAAGAAAAAAGGTATGGCTTTTTTCTTACCTCCTAGACACATATTGAAACCGCATATGCATAAACGGAGCATAGCACAAAGTTAACGGTATTCACAAAGGACACCCGACTGAGACAATTCCATTGGTAACCACGTCAAAAGAAGGAATACAAGAGTAAAAAATCACTTAACAGAAAAAAAAAAAACACAGGAGACTTACCTCTTCTCTGGAATCACATTTTCTTCTTCGCACCACTCAAAGCCTTACTCTGAATTACAACCCACAAACAAACAAAAAAAAAAACGAATAGTATCGTTAGTTTGTTCTCTGGATAAACCCGCTTCATATATATTGTGGCATTTTCACTTCTTTTTTTTTCTTGTTGCAATTTTTTTCTCCCTACCCGCTTCCCACTTAGGTGCATTTTTTTTTTTTTTCAACTGTATCCCCACCGTTAGAGCATTGGGGTCGCTTTTTTTTTTTTTTTTCAGTGATAGAGAATAAAAAGAGTGTATTCGCCCATCTTAACAGCGTTATTACTATTGGCATTGCTACCGTTGGTTCTACTTAATAGAACCAATGAACGTATAAATGAAACTCAACTACAGAACCGCAATCAGCAAGATATCTGTATTGTTTCTCCCTAGGCTATGTTTGCTTCCCTCTGTTTTTTTATTTCCCCCGCTTCCACGGCGGACAAAAATAAAAACACTTTGGATACGTTATTTTGTTATTCTTTCTATCGTTTTTTTCAGGTACAGAAAACTATCAATATCACACAATTCTTTCAAGGGTACCGTAGCCACTGAAAGAGAATGAAAAAAAGAAAAAAAAAAACAAGCACAAACTATTATATGCAGTACTCCACAGACCACTCCATTTCGCTGGGAGTAGCCGTATTGTTAGAATACAAGGTTCCCTCCTTATCATTATCTACACTCTTCAGAGTACGACACTCTTCAGAGTAGAGAGACATCATGCGTCTGGCAGCAACACATGATGAACGAAAGTGATTTACCACAACAGGGCGTCGTCTTTTAAAGATAAGGGGCATACAATGCTTGCATCCTGAAGATGATTCTTGTGTCTCTAGCTCCATATTGTTATTTACTTCACTGTTATTCTTTTTGCTAGTATTACTACTTAAATTACCTTCTTCTTCTCTTTCTCCACTTTCATCAACATTCTGATTCTTCTCATTGGCGCTGCAAGCTTCTGATGCTGTCAATGGTCCCTCGTTACGCTCAAAAACAACGGGTGAAACTTCTTCCCTTGCACAAGTCGCTTCTTCAAATTCGTTGCTTGTTCGATCCAATTCATTAGTAGTACCCTTATCTACAGATTCACACGATGGTTTATCGAATGTCAATACATCAAACGCTTGCAAGCCACCCTCATCATGTTCTGTTTCACTTAGCATACATCCCGTGGTAAAATATTTACCAGATGTAGTTTTTAGTGATTCTTGTTCAGCAAATTCATTGTCAAGAACTTCAGTTTGGCTATCTAACCATCTTCGAATAACCTGATCCCATTCCAATGAAGTTTGGGAACCATTGTGCTCCTCATTAATATCGTTTTCCTTAGCAGCAGGAGTCAGATAAACAGCTTCAACATTCTGCAGGTGGTTATGCACAAAATGGCAGTTGGTATTACCTTCTACTTCTGGATTTCTCGTAACTGGTAATGATACCGAGTTATTTTGTAAATTTGGCCAAATAGAACTATTATGCAAAGGTCCAACAGAAAATGGAGCATTTGATGCCATTGGTGAAATTGAATGAGACATCAATGTCGAAAAGATTTGATTAGAAGAATAATGGCTATGATCAACACTGTAGTTTGGCTTATTGTAAGGAATATGAGATGTTGGAATATCATTAAAAGGATGTGCAGAAACAGGGTACATATGTTCTGTATTAACAACTGGAGTTGCTGCAAATGGAGCTACAACTGAATTACCAGCCATTTGCAAAAGGGATTGAGAAAGAGAGATAGGATGTAAGCACCCTGAATGTAATCCCATGGAGTTTCCAAAATGCGTCCCATCTGTTGAATAGGGCAACGGTACGGCACAATTATGTAAATGAGATGCTTTAATTAAATCATTTTTAATATTTTCTATACCTTTAAATCCACAATTGAGGCAACACTGATTATTGGATATTACTTGCCTATTGTTATTGTTCTGATCCGTCGTCTTGATCTTGTTGCAAGAGTTCTTCACAATAGAACGTTTTTGTCCCATGCATACCCTTTTGGTAACTTTAGGGGGAGGTTTAGAGCCCTTTCCACTTCCTCCTTCCACTAAAGAAACCGGCTCATTTTGTGGATTCTCCTTGTTACGTGAGGTAACTACAGGCATCTCCGTATTCTTCAAAGATTCAGGGCATAATGTGCTCCCCAAACAAGGATGCATTACTGTATCTTTTAAAGAGCAACCTGACTCTGGATTTATACTACTATCAACACCTTCCCCCTTACTAGATAACGGAATAACATTCGTTGTAGCTCTACAACCATCAACAAGAGGATCTGATGCTATTTCTTCCGTACCCGATTCCAGACTTCCCCCACCTTCTAATATCCTTGTGTTCTCCACTTCAGAACGCAATTCACCAGCTCCGTGTGCAAAGGCACAACGATCCCCAAATGGACAACCTTCAGCAGTAACAAAGAAAGAACAAATAGAAGTCTTGTATTTCGATGTCTTCACAATGTCACGTCTGCGATTCCGTGCCATACCCTACCCTGTTTCACCTTTTTCCCACCTCCACCAAAAGTTTTTTTCTTCTTAATCTAATTATCTACTTTCTGCTTCCTACACTATCAAGGTCACACCCAAAAAGAAGATGATGAACAAGGAGACAAAAAACAGTAGAAGCCGACTGTTTTTCTTCCTCTTCCTACCCCTTCCTTACTGGATAAAAAAATCAAAAGAAAAAACGGCTATCGTTGTTTGTTTTATTTGTTAACAAATATCGTGAGTAGTAGAAAAAAAAAAAAAAAGAAAGAAACGGTACGAGAAAAACATGTAAGAAATTCGCAGCAAAAAAAAAACAGAGCAAACCCAGTTATTATCTATAGCGTATTTTCTCTTCTAGATACAAAACTAGTACAATTGAATGAACGTCCCATTAGTCTACAAGGGCGTAATCTAAATACCATTAATAATAGTAATTATAATAACAATAATAATTATGGTTATAGTAAAATTTTCCCACTCAAAGGAGAAGGAAAAGAAAACCACAGAGAGAACTCATCGTCAAAATTGGGAATCCAATTTAAGCATAAACAGTGGAAAAAAGAAGTGCGTACATGTTAAAGAATTCCCAAGTTATATCCATACAAATCATTTCCCAGCACTCAAGGTCCAAATAGAAACAATAATCAGGCATCGAGTTTTTTTTTTTTTTTTTTTTTTTATGAAGAAAAAAAAAAAATGCTTCCAAGGGATTCACGCCGTCCATCCATCTCTAAAAAAAAATAATAATAGCCCAGACACAATCAATATACAGATTCGATAAGAATATGAGATATTTGCAATAAATACCGTTACCACTTAAAACGTGATTCATAAAAAATTTTAGAATACCTATTTCCAACCTAGAAAATAAAAAACAAACACACACACACGCATTCACGCTGTATTATGAACCTCTTTTCGCACCACAAAAGAAAGGACACACACACACACACGCAGAAAGAAAACCGTTCACCGATCGGTGATCGCGGGGCGCGTGGAAAGGGAATTTCACGGCGAAACCCTCCCACACGGACGCGCCGCCAAAAACAAAACTTCCGCGGCAGGAAACACCCTTCAACCGCCCGGGGTGCCGCGAAAAAAAATAAAAACGATCTTCCTTCATGAGTTTCTGAGGGGCCCCTCGCCCGGGGCCGGGGGAAAAGGCCCAAAGAACCCCACAAGCCGGGCAAAAATCCGGGCCCGCCAATCGAAACGCCGTCCTCCCACCATTTCCCTTCCGCGGCGGGGGCGGCGGGAAAAGGAACGGGGGGTTTCGCGATTCTTTGTGGTCCGGTGGGGCCCGTTTGCTGCGGCAAATGTTTTCTTTTGGTTGGTGAGTGGTGGCGCGTCATTCGCGCGAGGTGCCGCGGTAATTGGCTTATTCTTCTTTGCGGCGTGTCTGCGCCAAC